AATAAGTTACCTTACCTACGGAACGTTAGTTAATACTCTCTCCTCTCTGTAGAGTTAATTATATATTATTATATATATATATATATATATATATATATATATGTATATGTATATATATATATATTTCAAATCACACTAAACATAATATAGAAATTGCTTTGTTAAAAATTATATATATATATACACACAATTTTGTGTATATAAGTATATATACAGACATATGTGAAATGAACGTTTGCCATCTCTAGTAATGAAAGGGAAATAATAAGATAATGAAATATCTCTGTTTACTTTTTTTAAATTGCTAAAAGTTGTAGGTAGATGATTATATTCAGTACTGCCAGTGTGAATGTGTACAATCTTTAACACTGATCAAAAAGCCTTTGACACAGTTGTTTCCAATGCAGAAAAGTATTCTCAAGGAAAACCTGGAGGCTGGGTTGCTGGCAAGCGACCAGGCTCAATGGAGGACTGGAGGCAGGGGGCTGGGCCACAGGGAGGGAGGGGCTGAGGCAGAGAGTGAAGAATGCAAGGCCTCCTCTGTGACGTTTGAAGACTCTGTTAAACCGTCCTAGTGAGACTAGGATCTAGGCAAAAGCGGCAGGCCCCAGCAATGCCATGGCAGGGAAGTCTCTACAGCAGTCTTTTTAGGGGCTTTGAGAGCCTTCGTCTATGGGGCCCTTGAACAGTCGGATCCTGCGATCCTGGGAATCAGACACAGCTGATCCGCAGCAGCCAGAAGTCCAGGCAGGCCCCAGTTATGTGACTGGCAGCCATAAACGCAAACAGAGCAGTGGACCCTGTTTGGGCCCAGAATCTGAGAATAACCACAGTTTTCTAGACAACAAAGAGGATCTACAACAAGTCATCAGAACAAGCCAAGGTAAAAAAGTTAAGATCACATCAGAGTATGCTTACCAAACTTTATTTTTGAATGGGGAAACCAGTGACATTAAAATCCGTGCTCTGGGGAAAGTATGGTGTTTACACAAAATGTTTTTATGTCAGTTGGACTACTTTGCTACGATGTTTAGAAGTTCTTCGAAAGAATCTCATGAAGGTATTATTGATCTGGAGATTGCTGACCAGAATATAGATGCAGAATCCCTGCACTTTGTACTAGGTTCATTGTACAGGGGTGAATGCATCTTAATGGAGCCGTTTCAAGTTCCAGGGGTTTTGGCAACTGCGTGCCTGCTTCAAGTAAAGAAGGTAATTCAGCAGTGTGATAAAACCATGAAGGAAACAATTAATGTGAAAACTGTATGTAGCTATTATGTTGCAGCAGAGGCCTATGGGTTAGATTCTGTAAAGAAAGGGTGTTTTGAATGGCTTCTCCACAATTTGATGACTCATCCAAGTGTTGAACTGTACAAAGAACTGAATATAGAGCTTATGAATCTGCTCATTTCATCTTCTAATTTATTAGTAATGCAAAAGGAAATGGATGTATACACCACACTTAAAGAGTGGATGTTCCTTCGTCTTAATCCAGCTTGGAAAGGATCAATGAAACAACTGTTAGCTAATGCAAACAACTGGTTTTCCAGAAACAGGGAACGTGTTGGTAACATTGCCTTTCTTGAAACTAAAGAAGGCATAGTATTTCAATCAGTGTTTAAAAATTTGAGGTTTCAGCATATCATCTGTGACCTGGCCTCCACGAGAGTTATTGAACAAGATACTTTAATACCTTCCGAATGGTTATCATCTATTTATAAACGACAATGGTTTACCTTTCTTAGAGCACAACAGTACAAGGAAATTGGGCCTAGAGACATCAATGAAACAGAACTTGAAGAATATAGCATGAGATGTGGCAAAAGGATTGTCAAGGATGGGAAGTACTCCTGGAAGTGGTCAGGTTACAACTTTGGCTTTCCTTTACATGTCATCTTCACCAGCCATTATATAATTTTCAAACAAAATACTTTCTGTCAGCCATATGATGATTCAACCTGTTTACAACCTCTCAGAAATATTGCCTTCAGATTAACTTTAGTATATTTTGATTCTAATGGAAAATTGAGTTTCAGCAAAACCACTGGCTATAAAATCCTTACCTTTGAAAAGGATGAGGAACAAGTTGTAATGAAGCTGGATAGCATAGCTCTGAGTTTCCCTTTATATATATTCTGTAACTTCCTGTTTATATCATTAGAAAATCCAGGAAATTGATAACATTGTCAATTAAGCTATTTTAGCATTTTGAAAACTTCTGATGTCTCACTTCATTTAATGGCACTACTGTTAAACACAATAAAGATGACCAATAACAGAAATAAAAATAATCTTTTGAATGTGATAACTATCATAAATTACTGCTTTTTATTTTCATTTTATTTCCATGTATCTATGAAAAAAAGTTCAATTTCAGAAAATATCCGTGAAACCAAATATTCAATGATGCTGGCATCTCTTGCTTTTCATTTACCATCAAGCAAGCTCCAAATGGAAGTGATAGACTATATTTCCAAGGAACCAAAATAAATTAACTTGTTGGATAGATTTTACCCTAATACTGAGATATAATAAAGAATTCTCTTCCTTGCTGATATTGCTGGGAAAATGTGGCTTTAACTGAAGCACTACTATAAAAGAGAGTAAATCATCAAGTAAAACCTGAGATTAGGGACTTTCTTTTTGACTCTATAATACAGTTTTAAATAACCAGACAAACAATATCAGGTTTTATGACATTATACTCTATACACATATATCATAATGCATATGTATATTATATAATAACAATTACATAGTATATAAATATATTACATATAATTTATATATTATATATGAATAAATACATACAAAGGATATTATATATGTATATACAAATAAATGCATGTGTATATTTATGTGCTTACAAAGATCAGAAGGAAATAATTTTTGAAATGGTTGAATAGATGCTATAGGCTAAAATGGATTTTCATGAACACCAGCTATTCTTACAATAAGCAGACATCAATAATTCCAAAGTATCCTCTTCATTTTTTTTCTATTTGTGATTGTGTTTGGTTTACTTCTCATTTTTGCCAGTGTTCTTCTCTACAGAATATTAATGTAACATTTATTTCAAAATAAGAGCCAGTAGAATAAAAACATTACTTTAAAGATATGCTTTCTAAACAGTCCCTGAGCAAGGAAGAGAGTCTGTCCAGCTAAGTGATGCAACTTTGAACCATGTTATAGTACCTTGAATGCTGTTTATGTTAATTTTAATATAACTGCCTTTTTCTATGAACATACATATCGATCACATCAATACTCCTTGAACATCAAGCATGTAATCAAAAGCAATTTAATTTTTACCCAGTGCTGTTTTTCAATTTTTATCTGCAAGACCCTCATGTTCTCACAAAAAAAGGATCTTACAGCAACTTTCATTATGATTATGAATGATGTGTATTTGAAGTTTGTATTGAGAAGGTAAATTGAGAGTAACTTCATCAGTATTTACATGACAATGTTGTATTATATCAGGTTACAATCTTACTGGGGATTTTTCCCATGCTCCTGAGGGCAAAGTGAAGTGTTTCAGACCCCTTAAAGTTTGTTTTAACAAATATTTTATCTAACTTGTCTTCTTTTTACTTTTTTTTTGACTGTTTCTGTACTCTGGAGAATAAAGTGACAGTATGCAATCTGGAAAATTTTGAAATTTCTGTTATAATCTTTCTAGGGAAATAAATGCACCTATCAATTGATCTGTACTGATGTTAACTGTTTACTTTTGACATGAATAGAGCTCAATTCATCCAGAAAACAAATCATGAGATGTAGAGCACTGATTATGAGTTAACCATAGGGAACTGAATAAATGCCATTGAAGGCTCAGGTAGAGACCAAGAGAGTTAAGATATGACCTAAATTACAAGTTTACTATGTTTTGAGTTTGGCAGAATATGTAAAACAATGATTCTGAATTATTTTTGGAAAAATAAATATGCCAATCATATTTTTCTATTTCTATCATTACCCTTTTGTTCATGAATAACAATGAATAAGATACTTGAGGAAGATGTGGTAAACAACAGGGCAACCATTTGGGGAGTACCACAGGTTATTGAGATACCATAGGTAATTGTACTTTTCCCCTATTATTTCCATTCAAATTTAGAATCTTTATTTTGTAAAAGTTCCAAGTTTTTAAAATTTGGAATTGAGAGCTCATTTAGACTTATCTCCTCTGAAGAGGGGATAGAATACAGGATGACCCAAAACATTTCCCCTAGGATCTACAACAGTAGCTCTGTGACTCTCATACTTAACAAAACTGAACTTAAAAAGCAATTGCTAGCCTTAAATAAAACAACATTGTGACATAGAGAATTTTTCTGATGAGAATTCAAGTAGATATTAATTAAATTTATTATTGCTAGTGTATGCTAAGGTCTTAGAGCCAGCCAAAGGCCTATGAGGAACCAAACATATTAACGCCTGAATCTAGATATTATACATGGATGAGGGTGTCAGCAATGGTGTATGCCTAGCCTACAATTAGATGACCCTCCACATCCCTTTGGAAAATACCATCAGGAATGGAGAAATGCTGTAGGTCTGGTTCTGAGATAAAGGATAAGGGGAGGTAGAGTGACAGTCATAGATCTCACCACTCGTGGGAGTAAGAAGTAACATAGCAGGATTAAGTAGCATACATTGGAAAGTTGTGGTATGAAGAGCTACTACTACAAGGTAGGAAGTTTTCATAATTAGCTTCTCATCACAGTTTACTTCATGAAATGATATATACTTGTGCTGGACAAATGTATCTACTCTTTCACATTCATTTTGCCCCAACAGTTTAAGTTTCACCATCTCATAACATTGATAGTTATCCTGCCTCTCCCAAGGTGAACACTATTCTATACCATGGCTTCTATTGTCCCCATAGGGAGCCTAAAGCTCTCAGATCATATATCCACAGATAGACTATAAATCATGTGGGCTATATGTCTGGAGCTGCAAGGGCTGTTTCAGCTTTTCCATTCATTATTCAACCCTGATAGATTGTATGTTTCTAAGAATTTATCCATTTCTCTAGGTGGTCCAATTTATTATTGTATAATTGTTCATAGTGGTCTTTTATGATCTTTTGTATTTCTATAGTGTCAGTTATGTCTCATTTTTTATTTATAATTTTATTTGTACCCGTTCTCTTCTTTTCTTGGTAGGCCTACCTAAAGGCTGTAAATTTTATCTTAAAAACAACCTTAATTTTGTTGATCTTTGCTATTGTTTTCTATTCCTTATTTCACTTGTTTCTGCTGTCTTTTGTCTCCTTCTGCTAACGTTATATTTTGTTTTTGCTTTAGGTATAAAGTTTTGTTTTTCATTTGAGATATTTCTTTTTCCTTAATACTTGTTTAGTATAAGCAATTATCATTATTAAATTCCCTCTGAACACTGTTTTTTCTGCACCCCATAAGTTTCCATATGTTATATTTCCATTTTCTTTTGTTTCAAGATATTTTTTGATTTCCCCTTTGAATTCATCTTTGACACATTTGCTCAGAAATGTGTTAATTTCTACATACTTGTGAACTTTCCAGGTTTTCTTCTGTTACTGCTTTCTAGTTCCATACCATTATGATCAGAAAAGACACTTAGTATAATTTCAGGCTTTTAAAATTTGCTAAGACTTCTTTTGTGACCTATGATATATACTGGAGAACATTTTATGTGTGCATGAGAAGAATGTTCATTCTGTTCATGTTGGACAGAATATTCCCTATATGTCCGTTAGGTCTATTTGGTCTAAAATATACTTTAAATCCAATGGTTCCTTATTGGTTTCTGTTTGGATGATATATCAATTTTTGAAAGTAGGATATTGAAGTCTCCAAATATTATCTGTTACTTCCTTCAGATCTTTTAGTATTTTCTTAATATATGTAAGAGCTCCAATGTTTAGTACATATAAATCTATAATTGATTTATCCTCTTGATGAAATGACCACCTTATCATTACAAATGACATTTTTTGTCTCTTGCTAATATTTTTGGCTTAAAGTCTATTTTGTCTGATACAAGTGTAGCTATCCATATTTCTTTGGGTTTCTGCTGACAAGGAATATATTTTTTCATCTCTTCCCTTTGAGCCTAAATGTGTTCACCAAGCTGAAGTTTGAGTATCTTGTAGAAAGCATAGAGCTGGGTCTTGTGTCTTATCTATCCAGCCCCTCTATGGCTTTTTATTGAAGAATTCAATTCATTTACATTTAGAGTAATTATTGATAGGTAAGGAATTGCTATTGCCATGTTGTTAATTGCTTTCCAGATTGTTTTTTAGTTCCTTGGCTCTTTCTTCCTCTCTTGCTGTATTTCTTTGTGAATTGAAGATGTTCTGTAGTGGTATACTTTGACTTTCTTCTCTTAATCTTGTCTATAACTACTATTGGTTTTTGTTTTGTGGTCACTCTGAGGCCTACATGAAGCATCTTATAGATATGCCTATTTTAAGCTGGTAATAACCTAACTTGGATCACATAACAAAATTCTACTTTTTTACCGCCCCCACACACATTTTATGTTTTTGATGTTACATCTTTAAACAACTTTTTAAATTAACATGTGTAACCAACCATATAGATACTTGCACTGCTTATTCACCCCTACAAGATTATTATGAGAAATTACCACAGTAACAAGGGCAAGAGAAGTCATTGAGACATATGGTGTAAGTAAAGATCAAAGATACAACCCTCCACTCAAGTGTTCAATATTTCTTACCTACCAATCTGGTAAGTTACCTACCAATCAATCTTCTACCAGAAGATACTAGAAAATACCAGAAACTTTGTGAATCTGTTTTCTTAACTCTATTGACCACTTTATTAAAAATTCAAACTTGTAATTGAATTTATTATGAAATAAAGGCAGCTGACACAACAAAGTATTAGAAGAACTTTATGTTAAAAAAATTTAAGACTAAAATCATCCTGTTGATAATACTATTTCCAAAGATCAGGCACAGATTCTGAAAGTTAATAGTCTTTTTAAACTAAAAAAATGGTTTCCATTATGTGAAAGACCTTACAATAAATTTGTGAAAAGAAGTTTTCTACTGCTCTGTATTTAGAAAATCTTGTTAATATTTTTACATGGTTTAAAAATTGAAATATAATTGACATATAACATTATCTTAGTTTCAGACACACAACATAATGATTAAATAT